CTGAGTTTGGATTATGAGAAATAACACAAGATTTACTTTGATCTAATGGGAATCTGCATGAGAGTTTAAGGATTTCATTTTCTTGAACTATCAATAACATGGTTTGGCTTTGATTTTTGCCTGGTATATTACTTACAATTATATAAAGGTCATCATTTTGTTCTTTACTTCTGCTATCTTCCAGGCCAATAGTCTGTGTATTATGATGCATTCATGTTGACTTTAAAGAAACTTATATTATGCTAGATTTAATCTGACACCCTAAACTCCTATAGATAAATATACTGTATGCTGAAAGTCACTCTAATTTGCATCCATCTGGCTAAAGTCCTCACCTATATTTTGATCTTTCTTTCCTCCTTTTGTATCAACCAGCTCAATAAAAGTCTCAACAAACTCAAAATGTTGCAGTCTGTCCTACATAACATAAACCATTGATCAGGGTCATTGTCTTAAAACAAGCCAGGGTTTGTTGTAAATGTTCCAGTAAAGAGAAAGATAAACAGAACCCAAACAAATTCCAGGAACAGTCCAGAAGTTAAGCACCCAGGAATTCAGGGGAATAACTCTGCTATCAAATACGCAAGCAAGGTCAGGAGGTGGTTTACAGATATAGCCTTCGGCAATGACTGCTGGAAGAAGCAGAGCCTTGTGGACCACGTCCAAGCTCCAGCTGAAGCATTACTGGCTGTCTGTGAAGAACCCTTCCTAATGAATATTCCTTTATTCCAGATGAGATCTGTTTCTTAGCTGAACATTTCCCCTTTGGGCCTGAATCTCTATCTGCCTAGCCCCCCTAAGACAGGGTGCTATTTCATTTTCAGCCTCTTAATTGGTCCTTCAGCCAGATCTAGAATTCTGTGCCACTGAGTGGGAATTATTTGAAGATGGCTGTGTTCCTGGAGCATTTGAATTAAGGCTGAGAAAGGTTCTACTTCAGCGTTTACCCCTCCTGTTTAGCTGTGGAATGAGGTCATCTGTTGGCATGGGGTCAGGTATCATCAGTACGCTGATGCTCAACTGTATATTTCGACTCCTGGCCGACCAACTGATACTGTCAAGATCTTGTTCCAGAGCCTGGAGGTTGTGGGGTCTGGATGGAGAAAAACAGAGCTTAAGACTTGCCAGCTGTAGTTCTGAATGGGGTTGCTTTTCCCCAGAAAGAACTGGTCACAATTTGGGGGGGCGGGGGTGAGTCTTCCTAGGCTCTTACCTCCTATTCAAAGAGCAGGGGGCAACTGTAGCCAGAAAGGCCTTTACACAGATTCATCTTGTGTGCCAATTACATCTATTCTTGAACTGGGGGGAGGGGGGAGGGGGGCTGGAATCTCACAATCACTCATGTCTTGGTTATTTCATATACGAATGACTGCAACGTGCTCTATGTGGGGCTGCCCTTGAAGACCATTTTGAAGCTTCAGCTGGTCCAGAAAGTGGTGATTTAGGGGCACGCTATGGTATGCCCATGTAATGCCTCTGCTTTGCAAACTACACAATAGGCTCCTGGGTGCAATTCATGGTAGATTATCACTTACAAAACTCTAAATGTCATAGGGCCTATTATTTGAGGGACGATCTCTGTCTTGTTGTTTCTGCACAACCTGGAAGATGACAAAGAGTCAGCATGATCTGGATCCCATCCATTAAACATCACCTGATGGGACCCAGGAAGCATGCCTTCTATGTCACAGTGCCTGTCTTTTGAAAGAGTGTCCCCAGACATTTGAACCAACCCTGTTTTCTTTTCAGTGAGTCTTGAAGACCGGGTTCTTTCTTCAGACTCTGGGCTAGTGTGGGAAACGGGGTCCCTTTGGGAGGACTTGTATGTCTGCTCCACTGGGATGACCATCTTCCTTTTTTTATCTTCTCGGGCTCTATTTCTTTGGCTTTAAATTTGTATGCCACTCAGAGATGTCAAGAAGTTGGATGACTTTAGAAATGTAAATTATAAAATAAACAAACCTACTATGAAATTACAGTATTGCCAGTGTCATTATAGTGGGAGTAATTTACTTTCTAAACCATTGGGTAACAAGAGGAGTGGCACTGAAGACTCCTAATGGCTCCTAATGGCCTTAGCTGTGAAAGAATCATCTTCATTGCTTGTTATCTTATCTTTGCTCTTGGTGATGGGAACAGGATAGACCTTCCTTGGCTTGATTCAGGACCAGCTCTTGACCCCTCTTTTGGCTTGCCTCTTACATCATGGGGATAATTCTAAAATAAGATCCTGAACTTCTTGTTGACTACATTTTCATGAACAACTCTTGGGAACAAGCTCAAGACAGAATAGTCTGTGAAAAGTGCTAGATCTCAGTGGCTTTGAAAGGTGTACCTGACTAGTTGTTCCAGTAAAGGCAGTGGCATGGAAAAAGCACATTGCTTGTTGGTCCAGTTGCTTTGAGGGGCACTGATAGTTTCTCATTAAGTCTTTAAAACGATGCTTAGGTCATGTTCACAATGTAATGGCTTGTGGGATGCCCATGACTGAGGCTGAGAGAAGCAAAGCTTTTTTGATGCTTTTAAAATGCTTAGAGTAATACTGTATCTTCTCTTGATCTGTACAGAAAAGTAACCAATGTTCTTTTGGTCTTGCAAACAGTACAATGGCACCTTGACTGAAGTCTGGGATTACTTAAGCCCTCCATTTCTCAATCAACAGTATGATAAATGTGTTGAGTCTGTCATCTGTCACAGTATTTCCCAAGGAAGTCTTTATCCTCTTAAGAGCTGAAAAGTACTGTTATCATGGCTGTCAAAATGAAGATTCTCAGTGATGTCACAGGCTGCCCCTGATCCCTTTGCACAAGCCTGCTCAGGAGTATAGATATAGATTATAAGTCTTGCATCAGCCCTCCAGTGCAGAACAAAGAATTCTGCCTTCAGATGACCTTTCCAGAACTGGTCAGGCCATTACAGACTCGTCCATTCTCTGTTCTGGGAGCCTCTGCTAATGTTCCAGCACCACATTTTCCTGTGTAAGTTATGCACCTGAGAGATGGCCAGAGAGTGCAAAACATTCCTTGCTAGAGGGTGGGGGGTGGGTGATAATGATGAAGTTGCATATTTCCATTTCAGTCCCAGTCATGCTTTCCCTGATTTTGCTGAACCAAACTGATGGGACTGACAATTCTGAAACAGTTCTCGGGGCTTCAGGATGATGGTAATACTCTTCAGGGATTCAGAACCAAATACATTTTCACCCCACCCGTGAAAAATTCTCTGTGAGCCACTGAGAGTCATTTTGATTGTGGTGGAGTAGAAATGCATGTCTTAACAAAATAAATAAAATAATGTAAAATGGGGAAGGGGAGTTTGTGGAATCAGGCCTTTTCCCCACACTACCTTCTTGCCTAGTCAGCAGAATCACTTTCTCCATCTGGGGATGGGTGGGGATCAGTCTCTTCTTCTTGCATAAAGAGGCAGGGACATTTATGCTGCCCCTCCAGTAGTCCGTTCAGCCCTATTGGACTGCAGGTGACCAGAACCCATATTCTGACATCACTATCAACAGACTATTTATTTACAGTCCATTTGCAATTCAGAGGGTCTTGTGGGAGGTTGCAATTCATTAAAGGCATATAGACAGAGAATAATATATAACACTGAGGAGGCCAAACGTAAATAGCCACCATTGTTTTATGCACCATTTTGGTGTCCCATTCATTTTATATAATAAACCATTAATCTGGCATTATATTTTTGCTCTTTTTAAAAATATCATAATGCTGAAATATATTTTTTTAAAAATGAAAATATTTGCTGCCCAAATTGCTAGAGTAGCCATTAGCCTGAACTATTTTTATAGTTGTAATGCAGTTGCGTATATAATGTATATATAATGCAGTTGTATATGCACCATAATGCAATAATACACACTGGAACATTTAGTGCTGCAGTACAATACTGTAGCCGTATTTTATTTTTAAACACCATGTAGCTAGAAAAGCATTATATGTCAAATATAAAATTAAAGTCAAATATAAAATTAAATTGAATCATACAATGGCATCTACTGCAAGGCTTAGGATGAATATGTATTAAGTTTCAAATGTCCCCATCCCGTAGCAGTTGACATCCCCACTAGATGGACATGGAGGGATGGACATCTTAGAAAGAGTGGCTTAGTATTCAACACATGTGGAAAATCCACTTGCAATGGCATCCATGGAGTCATTTGGCCTCTGTGCTCTGGGAATGTTCTCTTGGTTCTTCTGGACCTCAAAAGGGTATTTTGGTGATAAGCAGAATCTTTGTTCCATCAGTTTCATCTGATACCTCTGTACTAAGGTGAATAATGGAGTTGCTGTAAAAACAAGGAAGGGGAACAGTTAAGTTCTTCTCATTTGCTTTCAGAACTAGACTCCACTTGCTGGAGTGTAATTCTGAACATGCAAAGATTCGGTCAGCCATTCTGACACCCTTGGCCTATAAGATAACACTGCCCATGGGTATCTGCTGATTCTGCATTCTTGTACATTAATGATTTTGGCTGAATCGGCTGTTTTAAACAAAACAACTCATGAAAACACAGGCTTTTGTTTTCAAATGAAAAGATATCATGTCTGCTGCATTAAACGTTTTGAATTTTTGATGCTGCTGGACCCCATTTCATAGTGTTATTTTTCTTCATGTTGTTCTGTAGCACGTAGCAGGGAACTCTAGAGGCAGTGCCCATGACAAATATTATAGAACTGGAGCAAGGTCATATAATCTTGTATAAGACTGTCCCTTATTGCTGCAGCCCAAACTCAGATGGGTGTGGGGTTCCTTTTTGCCCCCTTCCCCCAATTCGTAGCTTCCGTATTTGTGTATCTCAATACAAGTCTCCTCCAGTACTTTTGATAACAAAGCAGGACTCGGTGACGCATTCTTATCTGCTGATTACCTAATATTTTATTATACTATTAAAATTGGAACCTTGGTGTTTACTTGTCTATGTCATTGACGGTTTTGCTTCTATTGGCTCCCAGGGCAGGGAGGACCTTGGAGAAAAAGCACGAAATGCATCTGTCCAGCCCCGGTGATGAAATGTGCTATTTATGAAACGTCACCATGAAGACAATCATGTGTATAACTCATGGGCATATCTTTGGTTATTATTTTTAATGATGACTTTCGTACAAACATTTTCAAGCTCCGGCTAATGGTATGAAAATGCAGGGGCTTATAATCTGAATCACCACTGGGATCTGGCCAATCACTGAACCTTATATTCTATCACTCGGTTTTGTTTGAAGCACTGCCAGTAGCCAAGCTGGATGTAAAAATAGCCCATGAGTGCCTGCCTGTTACTTGACACTGCATGGTTATTCCAATACGTATGTTTGCTTCTTCCTCACCATTCTCCACACTTGGTTTCTCCTTGCCTAAGATATATTTAAGTGTGTTTTACTGACTTTGGATTTCTTGTTCAGTTCCTTTTACCTATTTGAGCAGATCTTGGCAGAGAAAGGTTTGCCTCCTTCAATTTTTACAATCACAGCTCTCTTTCATATTCAAAAGAAAGAGCCCACCAAGGATATGAATTACAGGAAGTGTCATTGTTAAGCAAACTACGGAGAAATTGAATGTGTTGGGAAATTGGATTGGCTGAAGGCACCACCACGTTCTTCTATCTCTGATTTTGAAAAAGCTGGACAGCAAAGGTAAGACCAAAAAAACCCAAAAAACAAATCTCTGCATGGACTAGGACATTGCAAATGGGTTGAGTGGTTGTGACTGTGCTCACAAGAATAATATGAAAGCATATAATGGGATACAAAACATAATCCATCTTGTTGTTTTTTACAATAGGGCTACTCCTCTGAGTTAAGCTTATCTGTAATTGCCACTCTCTAAAAAGCATTGAAACTTCTCCATATGAATGGATACTTTTTTCTCCTCTAGTTAACCCAAGTATTGGCATTTATGAATACGCACAGTCACTTAGGATTTTGAAGATCAGGAGAACCTATTTCTCAAAAGCAAGTATAGAATTGGACTGTTCAGTTTATTAAAATAAATTTTATTTCCTAGCTAAAAGTGTCCTGTCCTAAATACTAGTTATCTTTGAGGTTGAGGGCACTATCTGACACATATTTTGTCAGAACAGAAACTTATTTTCACTTAAATACTCTAATTCACTAATAATGTGGAGGAAAAATTACTGAGACTATGAATTATCACATATCATTAAGAAGTATCCTCAATAAGTTGAATTTCTTAAATCCAATTGTCAAGAATTTTCTTCAGTTTTGCCCCAAAACTGGTTGTAATATAGAAGTAAATGTGATTATTCAAATTCTAGTGGATTTGAATAATCCTGTGAAGCATTACACACACTAATATTGTTCACAAGTTCGTATATAAACATACTTGTACATGGGCAAGGTAATTGCTTTATTTTGTCTAAGGAACAAAATAAATTAACTGGAAATGCAGACGCTTTCTTTTCTTGGGGCTATAGCTCCATCTACTAAATAAATAACTTGGGGATTTTGTCCAAAAATGTCTTAAATGAAAAACCCAATTCATTGAGTTAATCCATAACAGTGACATTCTTCTCAGACTAAAGCCCCTTCTGGTCCTTTATCCTTACTTGTTCAACAGCCAACAAATCAGCCAGAAATCCATGGGGCAAGCTCTTCCTTCTTCTACCCCTTCTGCTCACAGCCCCAACACAGACTTTCTAGTGGGTCTGCTACCCATCCCAACTAAGAGCAGCAGTGGTAGCATCTCTTCAGAACAATGCAGCACAAAGCCCACAAACTGCTGTTGCCCCTCAAATGGGACCCTTTGTGGATACTCACAGTGGAGTGGAAGCTCCAAGCCAGCCCCAAAAAAGCCCATTTCTAGCCTTCTCAAGAAACTTCACAAGCAAAGAAAAATAGATGAATATTATTTTTTCCCTAATAATCTACTGCCATGATTTATTCCCTGCTTTTATGGCATTTTAAGTATATCTACAAATGAACTCAACAGGTGTTCTTGCATATAAGAGCAATCAAAATGCCACAAAACTAGCTGACAAGCAACTCGCAGAGAGATTGCAATTGACCAAAGCTGAAAGTCATGGTAGCAGCTGAGGAGGAAAAGTTAAATCCTTGAAGTGCGAGCCAAACTTGAGAAACTGAATCTATATATGCCCCCATCTCCTACCCTGGGTTATTAGTCTCATGTGTATGTCTGCTTCGGTTGGTGCTAATTACAGCTGAGCTAAGGTCTACTGAGAAGGAAACACAGGTTACCGGCAGCATCCTGTGATACTAAGAGCTGCAAAGCATGGCCCCACTAGCAGTTTAGACTAATAACAGGTTGCTCCATGTATAACTCACTGTACCTTCTATGCCTTTCTGCTATTTGTGTCGTTGTGCATATGGTGTTTCATCATTCATCAGACCTAGTTCAATGGGTATCAAAAGGATGCTGTCACAATCCACAAGAGTTCAGTGGGTCAAAGACAATATAATGCCTAAGCCAGGAATGGAGAACCTCCAGCCTGTGGGCTGACTGTGACCCACCAGGCTCCACTCTGTGTCCACAGGCCTTCATCCAAATCACCACCTCCCCAATCATAAGCCCTTTTAAGGTGCAGGGAGCGCCTTTCCCAGGGCTTTACTCTGCCTTCACAGCGAAATCACTTCCTAGTGAGACATGCTGAAAAGTACCAGAAAATTCTTGAAGCATCCGTTCCTGGAAATTTCATTCATCTTTTTTTTTTTTTAAATGGGAAAGATAAAGGATGAATGAAGCTTCAACAACTCAAAAGCTGGGGCCATGCATTCCTCAAGGGTTTATCCACACCCAACCTTTCAAAACATAATGGGGGAGTGAAGATGGCTCTGGAGGACTTCTTGACCTGCTAAGGAAGGATGAGCGCTTGCTCCATTTTTCTCTTTCCATGAGAAAGTGGCTCCATATGGAGAGAAAGACAAGAAAGGGAGGGAAGGAGGGTGGGCAGGTCCTGAACCCTGACATCATTCAACCTTGAGACAAATCTCCCAGGGCCCTGAGTTTAAACACTGCAAGCAGCACTTGAGGTTGATGCTGGGTTTTGCTTTGGGTTTTATTTTTGGTAACTTAAGGGTATCTAGTCTGTAGAGCTGGACATGCAGATCTTTAAGTTTGGCTAATACAAGAGAAAACCAAGTAAAGGTTTATAACAGCAATAAATGAAGAGAGCAGGACTGAGACAAATAAAAAGTAGTGAATAAAATATTTTAATTGCCTTTCATCCCCCAAGGCCATATACAATTTTAAAAACCATCTCAAAACTACCAATTTAAAGCAGAACAGAACAATCTTAAAATATCAAAACAAAGAGCTGGCTTTAAAAACAAATTAAATGAAACAAAAGAAGTTTTACAGCCCACCTGCTGGGCCAAAGTGGAAGCAATTTAGTTCCCTAAGTAGGGAGTTTCAGGACTCCTATGGAAAATGCCCCGATTGCTGCCCTTGCCGTGTGAGATGGCTCTTGGATGACCATAAATCTAGGGAGCAGGAAGACCTGCTGAATCATTTAGGAAAGAGTCCTTGTCTCACAAAGCCCCATTCAGCAAACGACCCTTTCTTTGATTTCCCTTGGATCTTGCCCCAAAATTCTCCCCAAAAGAGGGCAGGTCCTTTTTATGGGCACTGTGCTTACCAGCTAAAACATGTTGATTAGATCTGCCTGAAACACATTGGGCTGGTAGTCAATAAATTATTTGCTATTGCCCTTGAGGCACTCTATTCCCCATTCTTCTTGGATTTCGCAGCCTGCAGTCTTTTTCCTTCTCTCCCAAATTCCAAAGCTACATTGCATATATCCAATGGCATGTAACTTTCCTAACTCTGAATGGGATCCTCTTGGCTTTGGGATTCTCCATTTTCTTGTCATCTTCCTACATCTTTTCTACCTCCAGCTCTACACAGTAAAGAACTGTCTGCACTTTTCCACTTCTTTTTCACTAGCTTCCACTGGTCTTTCTCCCCACTCATCTTGGTTTGCTTACTTTTCTAAAACACAGTATAGTACAGCTTTTCTTATCAGGTCCCGGGTGACCTTTCTTCCAAATCATTCTTTCCTCAGTTCCTGTCCTCCACACCTTTCTCCTTTTTGGAAGGAAGCAGAGATAACAGGTTAATGTTAGTAATGTATTGTGCAGGACTGAATGGGCTCATTTCTCTATGTAACTTTTAACACACACACACACTTCTCCTGATTCTTAATCTCTCACTGTGATTACAATAGGACTGGGCAGTATATTATGACTTAACTGTATCAAAGGTTTTCTTTGGACTATGTTATTTTCCAACACAGTTTCTATCTATTAAGCAAATTTTCAGTTTTTATCATAAAACTCTACAGTACAAACTGTAAGGAGTAAACTATAAGTTGCATCACAGGACATACTTGCAGTTAAACAATTCTTTACTCAATTAACCCAATATTCAAGATCCACATGACACATTAAATCAAAAATTACCTATAGAGACTAAGTTTTTACATAGACTAAGCTAAAATGTGTCTGGCTATTTTGCAGTTCAGGGTGTCATATGAATGTAGCCACAGGTCTGAACAATATCAAGAATTTAAGTTTATTTATTTATTTATTTATTTATTTATTTATTTATT